CAGACCCGATGGTGTGAATTCCACATTCCTAAGGCGGGGGCAAGTCATCCCAGAGGACTACCAGCGTTTATTTTCCCAGAAAGTTGTATTTATTTCATTGATCCCGGAGGAAAGATGGGCTGAGTCAATCCCAAACCAGGATTCGAATCATACCACGCCTATTATTTACTGCAATGCACATTACGCAGCTGTTTGTAATCACTGGGAAATGAACTGCCTTCATCGTTACTACCTTGGCATACATAAAACGCACTACGGTGCTTAATAAGCATAATGTTATTATAAGGAACCCTCAACTGATTATAACGGTAGCGTGGTGCATTCTGGGCTAGTCGCATGGTCACGTCTCACCTTGACTCAAATCCCCGAGTGAAGCCGCGGAACAACCGCTGCGTTGCAGCGATCTACAAAGGCCGAGAGATGTGAACTCCCTCTCCTGGTATCCAGGAGGTCGTGGGTTTGATCCCGACCCTGATGCCTGCTTTATATTTGGAGATTGCGTGTCTCCCTCTCTCTCATCGTGGCCGCATGACTTTTTCAGAAACGTGTTTAGACTATTTGGCAGCTATAAATTCCCGTGTGATAAGCCACATTGTTGAGCCATCATTTGTGGCCAGGTCACTTCTGAAAATGAGCTACATAGCTCAGTGGGCCTTACCTTGCTTAGTTTGAATGTAATTGGGACACACAAACCCACACGTACATTAGCAAATTTATGTTTGCGAAAATTAGAGTGGGGTCATTACATGCTGGGCGTATTCGCTGCTTGCGCTTCTGAGTTGCTAATTTGCTTCGTGAAGCACCGCAAAATAGCCTCTTAGAATCCAAAATGTTACGGGTCAAGCTGACAAACAGAAAAAAATACAGAGATTACCGGAGGTAATCCAGTAGGCACTATATTGAAAGTGTTTTTCATCCCAAACGAGGTTACAGCCCCACACTACCCCCCTCCCATCACCACCTCCCCCCACTGCCCCCCCCCCCACCCCCTGGTGTGTTTAAGGCGCTCCCCGCACCGCCACGTAGATCCGCCTTGAGAGTCGTCGTTGCTCTCAAGGCGCGGGGGGCGTATGACTCTGCCGCTTCCCACGCTGCAGGGATGTGGCACACGGGACTTCTGGCAGCCACCGAACAAACGTGCCAACATTGGCCCAGCGTTGGCACGTGGCTGAAAGTGTTGGAACATCGTTGGCCCAACATTCCATGTTTTACTGGGCACTTTATAACAGAGAGGTATTATCGATGTGGTGTGCTGGATGTGGATATATATCTCAGTCGACCCAGGGCACCTGGGTCTGTCCCGTGACTTCCTGCCAGCGGGTGTTCGACACTTGACGTGGCCTTGACGTGGTGACGTCACTGCCACTTAGTGGCGAATGCCAGTTGTTATTATTGTTGTTGTGGACATATATATTCCAGGTTGCAGGTAGACTAAGGTATGCATGTGACTATTTATAGCCACGTCCAAAGGGAGCGGTGTACCGGATGTGGTGTGCCGGATGAAATTGAGCTTCGGGCCTTGGCTATTGGGGGCGAGCGTGGGGCGACGTTGGTCAAGTGAGATCCGACCTCTTGCGCGCTCATCAGCACCGCCGCGGCGAGTCGTGGACGCAGCACCAACGCCGCGCGTGGAGAGCACTCTGCTCAGGACAACAGAGGGAGGAGGGCAGAGCCACGTCTGCCCGTGCGGTTTGTGGAGCCGCTTGGAGCTTACCTGGCGGTACGCCGTGGCATTAATAATGAAAGGTGGCATGCGGGGGTGGGCGGTGGGGGGGGGAAGGGGCGGCTGCTGCCCGCTCGTGATGTTCGCCTCGCAGCAACCCGGCCAGTACCACCACGGGCCACGCACACACAACGCGTTTGGGGTGATTACGAGTGGACCTGGCTTGCTTGCGAGCGGAGGGCGTGGGGTGAGCTGGGCAGCATTCACCCTGGCGGGCGGGCGGGCGGGCGGGCGGGCGGCCTCTCAAACACGAACTCGTTTTGGAATAATAAAACACAACGGGGAGCAGAATACCGAGTGTACACGCTCCTTGTTGGGCGGGGCGAGGCCGGAGAGAAATATCACGGTTTTTATCGCCACCCCACGTCCCCTTTTATACGATGGCGGTGGTGTTGGCAGTGTTGGTGATGGTGATGTTGGTGGCGGTGGCGGTGGTGGCGGCGGTAGTGGCGGTGGTGGCGGTGGTGGTGGTGGCGGTCGTGGAGACAGTGGTGGTGGCGGCTATGGCTTGGCCCGTGCAAATTTCCCCCGGTAAATTGCCACGGAATTGAGTGCGCAGCGGCGCTGAAAGGGAACTCGCCCCAGTAATTGTGCCGGTGCCTCGTGCCGATTGTGGACACCCACTGGAGAAAGGGCCATATATATATTTTTTTTAATGCCCTAAAGCACCACGCTGGGTATAAGGTCCTTCAGGTTATTTAAAGCTCACAATCAGTTATTGCTCACGTGTCTGCGGCTACCACCAGTGAATTTTCAATGGGACGATCTCGCTCGGCCGTGAGCGCGTTCGCCGCGGCAGATTGCGGCGGAGAGCGGGGGACCTTCATCCGCCCCGGCGCTCGCCCGGCCGCAAAACGCGGCCGCTCCGACGCCGCTCCTCGAGCGGACGCGTGGGCGAGTGGCCGCCCTGGCGCCCGCTTTGCCGTGGACCGTCGCTTCATTTCCCGGGGCAAAGATCCGTCGTGCCGTAGTCGCGCGTCGAGGGCCCCCTCGGGGCCGCGTAGCGCGGAGCTGCGAGGACATTTGCCGCACCGCGGGGACGGTGCGTCCTGCAGGGCTCACGCGGGAGGGAGGGAGGGAGGGAGGGAGGGAGGGAGGGAGGGAGGGAGGGAGGGAGGGAGGGAGGGAGGGAGGGAGGGAGGGAGGGAGGGAGGGAGGGAGGGAGGGCCAGCGAGGCAGGAGAGGGGCAGGACGCTCCGTGGCCACCTGCCCTCCTCGTAATGCCCGCAATGTCCCCCTGCTAGGGTCGCGGGCAATCACAACCAGGGAGCCGGAATTAATTTGTTCTAAAAATATTGTTTCATTGGATTTTTCCCCCCCCTTCAGAATTGTTGTGTTGGCAAAACTGTATTTTCTCGCCGGGTGACACTGGCAGAAGGCTTCGACTCACAACTGGAAGATTGCGAATTCCAATCCTAGGCAAAGAGCCGACTCAGCCCATCATCACCCGCAGGTTACATAAGTACCACTTATTACGAGTTGACAATAGCTGTGCTGAGGATAGACTGGCCCCGGCCATATAAATGTGGAGTGTTGTATTGACTTACCAGCTGCTGGATCAAAATGTGCGAACAAAGTTCCGGAATGTTTTACACGGTAATTAAATGCTGTGCCTCAGTCATGAATTGACACCTCTGCCACCCCTCTCTTGGCAAAGGAAGGCCAAGCTGACTCTTGTTCACGCTTCCGTCCAAATCTCGTCTGAATCGTTCAAGACGATCGAAGCTTGCACAATTCAGAGGCCGACCAGCCACACGAGCACGCTGGGTTCGCAAAATAGCTCTAACCCATGGACGACATACGTACCATCGACCAGATTCTCAAAAGGGCAAATGATAATGATCAAATATCATTGTGCCAGGGCTTTGTCGACTAATAAAAGGCATTTTACTCGTGGGAAACTGTTTCAATGAACTTCATACAAAACCAGACCTTAATAATAATATAGAAATGAAAAAAAAAACCCACACAAAAGTAACGTAGCAATGTGCCTCGCGAAGAAAGTTTTTAACCAGTGCATATTACTTTCTGTGACGTGCAGAGACTGACAAAGGAAATTAAACAACACCTTAGGAGTGTGCAAAGAAGCGTGGAGAGATGCGTTGCTTGGAATGACACCGAGAGATGGAGGGAGGAACGTGTGGATCAGAGAACACACGCTGATGAATAGAAAGGCGTCGTACTGCATGTGGAGAACAGTGAGTGGCCTTGTGCTGGACAAACACAGTGGCCAAAAGGGATGATGGCCGACAGACAAGACCGGTGATGCAATGGCAGCCAAACGATGGTCACTGCGGAGAGGGAGCGATGAGATGAGCTCAGGCGCAGGAGCGGGAGGGGCAGGTCGTGGCGTCGCAGCGCCACAATGGATGGCGATGATGTGGGGAGGCCTTCATCCAGCAGAGAATAGAGCATGGCTGCTGCTGCTGCTGATATCCCATGTGCACATGTACACACGTTCAGTTTGACTTCGTCAAGATAGGCATCGGCGTGCGGTTGGGCCGCAGCGGAGGACGAGTTTCTGCGTGGCCCGTGCCGTCGGCCTAACTGATGATGGGGTTTTCAGGTTCACTCCGTATCCTGTCCGATTGTGCTGAGACCGCGGTTTAAAAAAATAAACGACCAGTCGGGTTTGATTGTCCCTGGACTCGTTTGCATCACCACGGGAGGATGCTTTCATTTTTTCAGCATTCCGATTTTTTTTCCATCGCTGCGCCGGGGTGTGAGTCCCACGGCGAACGACATCGCGACAGCACCCACCTGGTGACCTCTTGGACCCAGATCACCGCCGCACGAATCAATAAGGTGTGATAACGCTTTGGCACGCGAGCTGGAACGAAACCTAAATCTGCGCCTGGGCCGCTGCAGCGCCGACAGCCCCTGCAGCGCAACAGGAGAAGCCGGCTCCAGATGCAAATACGAATTGCGGAGCGGGGAGTCTGTATGCATGATCGTCATCGGCTTCACTGCTGGAAAATATCAGAAGCTTCCTACCCTGGGGGAGCTAATCTCAGTTTCTACCCTGAGTGCCATAGGGCTCAAAGAGAGCCCTAAGAATGCAGACAGAGTCCGTTAATCCCGTAAGCCACCCAGTAGCCACCGTGCTCTGAATAAAACAAAATAACTACCGTTACTTTAATTTAGATTTTTTTTTTAATGCTTATTTTGATTCATGAATGCCTCCCTCACTCGTATTGTTGCTGCTGCTATTGTTGTTGTTGTTGTTGCCGTCGTTGCCGCCGCCGTTGCTAATCCTCCACCACGCTGTCACCAACAGCAGCAGTCAAGGACGACGCCCCCGCACCTCACGTCGGCCGTCGCCGAAAACATCCTGGCCATGGCGTGCGAGAGCGAGAGCAGGAATGCCGCCAAGCGCATCCGCCTCGACCTGCAGGCGGTGAGTGACGCGCAGAACGTTCATCCCACCCCTGCGCCGCCACCCCCACCTACACTCCAGCGGTTACAGGTCGCCCATCCGAGCATTATCCAGGCTCAAACCTGCTTAGTTTCTCAAGATCTGATGTGATTGGGTACATTCCAGGTGACATAATATAGGTTCGATTTGGAGGGATTGTAAATCGTGTAATCTGTTTGCGCGCGCCACGGTTCGACGCGTTCATCGTCAGCATGAGAATCGGTTTTGTTCGATGGATCGTTACTCGCCGCTTGTTGGGTTGAGGTGGGCCTCCACCCCCCCCCCCCCCAACAGGGAGGGAGGGACGGCAGCCTTGGGGGGTCGGAGAAGAGAGATCGCGCGGTGACTTGGGGATGGAGCGTGCGAGCGGAGGGAGCATAGGGAGATGGAGGGCAGCATGGGGAGAGGGAAGGTGGGAGAGGGGAGTGAGGGGTGATGGAGAACGTGGGGAGAGAGGGAGAGTGGGGGAGAGGAGGAGGAGGAGAGGGGTTCGAATGCTGCTGAGGGGTTGGAGGTGTCCTGGGTCGGGGTCCTGGGGTGGGGGGAGGCGCCCGCGAGGATTGTGTAACGAGGCTGCTTCGGCTGGAACACGTCCAGTGAGTGGGCACCACGGGTAATGGTGCGGGCACCACAGTGGTGTGGCACAGCGCACTGCAGGCACTGTGGTGCGGGCACCGTGGGCACTGTGGTGCTGGCACCGTGGGCACCGCGGTGTGAGATTGTAGGAGCCGGGATGTGTGGCATGGTGGTGGCGAGTGACGGTGACGGCCGCCTCGCCACTTGGCCGCGCTGTCACCGCACTCACCACGGGAGTCCAACTCCTCCCGCAAGACTCCAGGGATCTACGCCGCAGTACTCCAGCCTGCTTTAACTTCCCTGCGATAAATTATTTTAAAAAAATGTCTACAAGTGAATATGCTGCACAGCCCTTCGTTAATCTACTGCTGGATGAATGCATCCCCGTGCTGTGGTGGTCATGGTGGTTGTTTGGCCATACTTCACGCCGGTCAAGACCGGTTCAGAAACAATTCTCCACTGATGTTAACCGTGACCGGGAATCGAGCTCAGGTGGCCGGATTCATAGCGCAGTGCGCTAACCGCTGTGCCACCATTCCCCCGCCACGAACCACACTGGTTTTGTTTTACTTGCCGCCTACTAAAGATGAGTTATAAACTATTAATATTACTTGTAAAAAAGAAAAGTCTTGCCAAGTGAAGCCAATATGATTCTTGTTTCTTTTCTTGCGTTAATTGGGATTATCTCGTACGGTCTTGAAAAAAACCCGACGCTCGTTATTTCATCTTTTGAGCGAGCAATTTCTTTCCTTATTTACTTGTGCGTTCACGCTCCACGTGGATAAGTTCAAGTCTCTCAAATGTAGCCTCGTTCTTTTTACATAAATTCTGGTCACAATGCCTTCAGGCGCTTAATGGCAATGTGGAGATATGGGGGGCAAGGCGGAGGGGGGGCATCATGTGACCTGTACGCTGACATCATGTGACCTGTACGCTGACATCATGTGACCTGTACGCTGACATCATGTGACCTGTACGCGGGTCCGCAGCGCGGCCGTCCCGCTCGCCGCTCGGGTGGCGCTGCGCGGGACTCCTCCTCGCTCCTCGCTCCTCGCTCCCCGCACCTCGCTCCTCGCTCCCCGCTCCCCGCTCCCCGCTCCCCGCTCCCAGCACCTCGCTCCCCGCTCCCCGCACCTCGCTCCCCGCTCCCCGCTCCCCGCTCCCCGCTCCCCGCACCTCGCTCCCCGCTCCCCGCACCTCGCTCCCCGCTCCCCGCACCTCGCTCCCCGCACCTCGCTACCCGCTCCTCGCTTGCTTTCATGTCCATCAAACGAGCCACGGCGGCGGCGGCAGCGGTGGCGGCGGCGGTGGTGGCGGTAGCGGCGAGGACGACTCATTAAGGGCGCAGCTGCTTAGCAACGGCGCCCGTTACCGCCCCTTCCCGCGCTTCTATCCTCTGCCTCCCCCCCCCCCCAAAAAAATAAACCCCGGCCTCCGCAGCAGCCCCCTCCATTGCTTTATTCTATTTTTTGCCGAATTCTTTTCTCCTCTTCCCCCAACCGTGATTTTTTTTCTCTCTCTCTCTGAGTGTCCTTCGTGTGCCGGGCTGGATACGGACGCCATGACAACCGGGGTGGGCGGCAGACTTGCCCGGGACGTGCCTCCTCCTCCTCCCCCCACACACCCACCCACCCACACCACCACCACCACCCACCACCCACACACGCGAGGCTCGTGAAGCCCGGCGGAGGCCGGTGATTAATACCGCACGCGGCGCCACACGCTCGCCCGGCAGCAGCGGCACAGCTTCCGTGAATCTGAGAAGCTCGGGTCTCCATCGACCGAACCCTTACCGTGTGCCACCTTAACTCATCAGCAGCCACGGTCAGTCCACTGCTGGATGAATGCATCCCCAGGCCGTAGCCACTTCTCACAAACCTGCGAATGTCCCACCTTTACTGGCCACAGCAAAATCATTTAAAGAATCATTTATGCTGAATATTTTTTTTTCCACCTCCCCCCGTTCTTCAAAACTTTCAGCAGCTTTGCTTTTTTCTTTGCACGAACCTTGACTGCCTGTCGAGTAGCAAGCCGGCAGCGTGGATCGGATGGAGAGTGTGGCAGGGGGCGGGGGGGGTGGTGGCATGCGAGCCTGGAGCGGGACTAGGAACATAGATGTGACTCATTAATGGACAACCCCTCGTTCGGCAGGGCCTCCGTTTCATCTCGCTGTTACTCGCCGAGTTACTGCAGTCACACTTTCTCATGATTGACGTATTGGTAAAGAAAAAATGCATCTGTGAGATTATCTTTTGCCAAAAAGTCCTCCGCCAGGGTGATTTGTTTCCAGCTAACAGCGCTCCACCAGTGTGACTATAATGTTTTATGAGTCATGTATCCCAGCCAGAGGCTTTCAGAACCTTTGAAATAAAAAAAATGTCAAATGTTGTAAAAGTGCTGACATGTGATGTTGCACAATTTATAAAAGTCACTACGGGCTTCATCCTCACTTTTTTGCGTCTACTTTTATAAAGAGACCAGCAAAAATCAGACCGAATGATTAACACTTTCCCGACCAATTTTATTAGTGGCCGCGCACTCCTGTTCACAAATTGGAGTCGGTGATGGAGGTTTGGAGAGCCCACCTGGGTCACGATGCGTGTGATCCACAAGGGCAGCTCCGAATGCCGCGATGATGGCCGTTTCTCTCAAAATTCGTCGATGCCCCTTCCGTCTGCAGTGGCGCTGCTGCTAGAAGCAGCAGCGGCAGCCGTATTAGTGGAACATTGAGCCCTGACAGGGCGTGACCTTTACACGGTAAAAATGTCACAGTGAGCCCTGGGGGGAGCGGAGGGCGCGCGGTTGGCGGTCTGCTAGCAGGAGGAGAGGGGGCAGCAGCAGTCAGGCTCTATGAGCACATTGCTTTGCCGGGGGGGGGAGGGGGGGGACTGCAGCTATACGACTCCTCATATGATTAAGATTACGATTCTTTCAGAGTAATGATGATGATGCTAATAATACTAATCATGGCCTTTACTTGAAGGGCCCTGACACATTCGGACGTTTGACCAAATTCCATTGATCGGTATTTGGCTTTATGTATGAGGAACCCGGAGAACCCTGGAACGTACCCAGGACCGAGCTGTCCACGAGGGGGTGACATGCGGCACCGCCGGGCCTCGCAGACCCACGCCTCCAGCACCTGTGCCAAGCCAAGTAATGACCAGACTCAGGCCTGCTTAGCTTTCAGGAATAAACTGGTTTGAGGATACCAGGTGCACGTTTGGTTATTGAGTGGTAGGGAATTCAGTGTTGCTTGTTTAAATTGAGGTGGGAGACCATCGGGCTGCATTGTTTCGTTAAAAAAAAAAAACATTTGTAGGGCCCGTAACGTGATTCAATAAATTGTCACGATTCGAGGTCGTGATTCAAGGATCGATTATGAATTCTGCTGTTGCGTGTGTGTCGGAATTTACAGTCAACGCTCGGGTCAGGTGACCCAATCCCATGCCACGTCGACAAAGTCAAAATAACAGATTCTTACTCGCGCGATTCGATGCCTCGATCGTAAGCGTGAGAATCAGTTTTAAGATATTTGTTTTTCACGAAACATTCCGTGATGACGACGACGACGACGATAATATTATTTAGCGAATGTAGTCACAGGCAAGTTCGTATTTGTCGACTTTACCGTGACGCTTCAAAATTGCGGCTCACCCTCGTAATGGTGGCACGGCATCTGAGTCATGGCCCTTGCGGACGCCGGGGGCAGGAGTGCGGCTCATCGCAATGACGCGTCTCAGGCAATCCTCAATTGAGTAGGTTCCTTGCGAGCGTCGCGTCTTACCTTTCATTTCACTTACGACAACGCCGATGGATTCGCGTGGTGATGTCGAAATGCGACCGCAGCTTGGCCGCCGTTTTTACGGAACGGCCATACGAACATCACGGCAGGGACCGCCAAAGCGGCGGGTTAAATCCTCATTTTTAAAATGAGGATTTTTTTTTTCCCCCCCTCTCCGTTTTAACGAATTTGACGGCGACCTTTTTGCAGCGAGCATTCCGTGCGCGTGCTGCAGCTCCCGCTCGTCGACGCAACCGTCGTTAACGAGCGCGCGACGTTGTCCGTCCGCTGCGGCGAACAAAATAAATAAATAAACCCGGGGGGGGGGGGGTTAAATTCAAGCGACAAACGACGAAGCCCCGGACGTTCGCCGCCCGCTAATGGCCGAGGGGGCGGCAGCGGCCGGGGCCAAGGGAGCCCCACTGGGGCGCCGCCCCGGCGGGGCGATCGTTGTCCGCCCCGTGGTTCCGTGTGCCGCAAATAAGGCGCGGAATAACGAGCAGAGATCTGTGACGGATCGAAGGGAGAATTTAACCGGCGGGGGGGGGGGGGGGGGGGGGGGGAGAGCAAAGGTGGGCGTGCGGAGAGGGCGGAGTGGGCGGTGGGTGAGGAGGGCGAGGGT